AATGGCTAGCCACTTTTTGAAAACGATGCACAAAGCACAACCTCCATAGCTCTGAGCAGTGATTCACAGAGAGCTAACAAATATTAGACCATAAGGCAAATGGCTTAACAGCTTAACCACTGTGTGTTCTGCCTTTACTGTAGTTTTGTAGATTTTACACACCATATAACTGAAATCGACAGAGGATTTTGAGAAAGGTGGAGACTGGTATGCTTCATGAAGAGGGGCAAGCATCGCTTCAGAGGTCCAGATAGTAAGCGTCCTTTGGATATTATCCCCATGTATTAGGAAATGAACAGGCAGATATACATAACTTGTGGGTGAACTTATGCATGACAATATAGATGTTTTAAGGACCCTTGGAGGGCGAGTGAACAGTGGGGAAGTTAATTACTAAAGCAGCTCAGAAAATGTGGCCATACTGGCTGAAATTCATTATCAGTATCGAGGTGATCAGATTTTAAAAAATCTCTACAAGACAATTCTGTCAGCTTCAGATAATGACTGATGCATGAGAAGAATCTACAATGGATGTGGATTTAAACAAATAACACATAACGTTAGTAATTTAGTCAGCATTTGAAGCTAATTACTTTTTTTTTTTTTAAGTTCCCAAAATGTGACCATGAAGGTGTGAATGGCATACCATAGAGGGTATGGAAAAACATTTTTTGTTTAATCATATTAAATTATGAAATAAATCTTAAGTCAGTATTTTAATTCTTTAGAGAAACGAAATGAATGTTCACAGAATGAAAATATCTTGTGCATCAGGTCCCTCTCTTTGGATGTCTGAAAGAGAGTACTAAAGTGTTATGTAGCACCTGTATTGCTGTATGTTAGTGAACCATGGAATGTGAATGCACAAATTAGAAAGAACTTGGAGGTGACAGAGATGTGGTTTCTCAGATGAATGTTAAGAATCCCTTGGACTGCCGGAGTAACTAATGAGTATTGCTTGATGGAAGCTAATGAAAACAGATGAAAATATACAGCCATAAGGAAAAGACAAGCACCGGTCTTTGGTCATGTGTGAGGGGGAAGGCTTTGGAGAAGGTTTTGATGACTGGGAAGATCAACAGTAGAAGAGGGAGAGGCGGACTGAGAGAGATGATGACGGACTGCGACGGTGGCACGGAGGGATGTCATCGGTGGAACTGATCCAGAGGACAAGGGACTGGGATCTGTGGAGATGCATGAATGCCTGTACCAGCAAATGATGACGAGAACAGAAACTTGGACTTTGATTTATTAATTATAAAATAAAAGCAGGTCAGATGTCTGCCTGGCAAAGACATGTTTGATTTGAGGCAACAAATTGTGGTAATTTTGCAAATTTAGAAGATATTTATGAACTATGGGAATTACCCTGAGTGCTGCCCAAAAAAACAAAAAATTATCGCTCGCACATCCTGGTATCTCTACAATAACTCGTGGTACTTGCAGCAATATGATTTTTCATGCAACAAATACGGAAAAATATTCTTAACTCTACCAGGCCGATGTACTTCTTCTGGGGTAATTTCCGAATCTGCCGCTAAACGCTGTATCTCATTGTCGGTACTTTGCATACTACGTGATAAAACGCGTTAGAAACTAAAAATAACCAGCAAGTCATGATCAGAGCTCGTGGTTAGTCATTGTGAATGACTGCCCACATGTGTTTGTATTTACTTTGTGTGGTTTAAAGTGACAAAAATTCTGAGAAGTTCACAATGAAACAAGAGGCTGATAAACCAAGCATATCGACAGGAAATGGAAGTAGGTCTAGGCTTTTCACAGTCCAACAGGTGATCAATACTTTGATTCATACAGACTCTGAAGAGTCAGAATTTCATGAAGAATACGTTCCCAGTTGAAGAGACACAGTCAGTGAGAGCTTAATTGATGAGGAGAATCTTGGAAATTATAGATTTAAAACTATATCGATAATAAGAGAAGGGGGCATGTCCCTCAGGCAGCAATATTTGGTGCTCACTTTGGGAAACAAGGCTGATTCTGTTGGGTGGATTGGCACACAAAGATGGAATATTGGTGCTAGATGAAAGGTAAACCTATTTTCTATAGTGTCTCCAGGTTTCATATTATTCTAACCACTTGTTTGCATATAACTTAGATTTGTGTACATCATGTTGGTTTTTTCGTGTAAATGCCCAGGAGCTCAGGTATAGGGGGCAGTTAGGTTCAGGGCCTCAGGTTTGGTAGGGTTAATGCCCAGGAGCTCAGGTATAGGGGGCAGTTAGGTTCAGGGCCTCAGGTTTGGTAGGGTTAATGCCCAGGAGCTCAGGTTCAGGGCCTCAGGTTTGGTAGGGTTAATGCCCAGGAGCTCAGGTTCAGAGCCTCAGGTTTGGTAGGGTTGATGAGGGTGAAAACTCCACATTTTCAGGGATGCAATAAAGTCCAGCGTATGCACTTAAAATGGTGTCAAATCAACATCCTGTTTAAATTTTTGTCGGTATCCCTAGTAGTCATGAGTACTGTAGATTGTAGTATTCTCAGATCTGTCGAAGGAAGATGTACGTAAGTTAGTGTGACCAGTTTTTATTACTTTAGCTAAATGGAAATGTTTGAGTGCACGGTATGAATTACATCAATAATTAATTGTCCATGCAACTTCAATTATTGAGATATATAGACACTCACACATGTGGACTCAGACATTATCGTCATGTTGCACCTTATAGCCTGTAGTCTTGATCCACCCTTTCTGTTCTGTTTCTGTCATCCTGGGCTGATGTGTATCATATTTTTTATGTGACACAGTATTAATACATCATGAATCCAGGTCAGCATGTTTGGACTGAGGAAGGAAATAGAGAACAAATGGGAATGTTCATTGCAGTGAAGTCAGTGAGGTTAATTTTTGATTGATTCATTTATTATATTGGTTTTCTCAAAATTCCCCTACATATAGTCTATACTGTATATTCATATTGGTCTCTACACCTACAGAAATAATGCAGAAATTCTGCTATCCACACATATAGAAATAATGCAGAAATTCTGTTCTCTACACCTACAGAAATAATGTAGAAATTCTGCTCTCTGTACCTGCAGAAATTCTGCTCTCTTCACCTACAGAAATAATGGAGAAATTCAGTTCTCTACACCTACAAAAATAATGCAGAAATTCTGTTCTCTACATCTACAGAAATAATGCAAAAATTCTGCTTTCTATACCTACAGAAATAATGGAGAAATTCTGTTCTCTACACCTACAGAAATAATTGAGAAATTCTGTTCTCTGTACCTACAGAAATAATGGAGAAATTCTCCTCTCTGTACCTACAGAAATAATGGAGAAATTAAGCTCTCTGTACCTTCAGAAATAATGCAGAAATTCTGCTCTCTACACCTACATAAATAATAGAGAAATTCTATTCTCTGTACCTACAGAAATAATGGAGAAATTCTCTTCTCTGTACATACAGAAATCATGGAGAAATTCTGTTCTTTACATCTACAGAAATAATGGAGAAATTCTGCTCTCTACACCTACAGAAATAATGCAGAAATTCTGTTCTCTACACGTACAGAAATAATGCAGAAATTCTGTTCTCTACACCTACAGAAATAATGCAGAAATTCTGTTCTCTACATGTACAGAAATAATGCAGAAATTCTGTTCTCTACACCTACAGAAATAATGCAGAAATTCTGTTCTCTACACCTACAGAAATAATGCAGAAATATAATGCAGAAATGCTGCTCTCTACATCTACAGAAAAATGGAGAAATTCTGCTCTCTACACCTACAGAAATAATGTAGAAATTCTGCTCTCTACACCTACAGAAATAATGTAGAAATTCTGCTCTCTGTACCTACAGAAATAATGCAGAAATTCTATTCTCTATACCTATATAAATTGATAAAGAAATTCTGCTCTCTACACCTACAGAAATAATGTAGAAATTCTGCTCTCTACACCTACAGAAATAATGTAGAAATTCTGCTCTCTGTACCTACAGAAATAATGCAGAAATTCTGCTCTCTATACCTATATAAATTGATACAGAAATTCTGCTCTCTACACCTACAGAAATAATGCAGAAATTCTGCTCCTTACACCTACAACCACAGACACATGGTAGAAATTCTCTCTCTACACCTACTTAAATAATGTAAAAGTTCTGCTCTCTAAAAATACATAAATAATGCAGAAATGCTGCTCCTTACACCTACAACCAGAGACATGGCAGAAATGATTCCTCACCACCTACAGAAAAAAGCTGAAATTGTTTGCTGTCTGCAACTAGAGAATGTTTGTCAACTTGTACTACACTGGGTCACTGATATCCTGCTGGTAGAATCTACAGAGAAATGTGCACGTGGCTGAGGAAACTGCAGACGAATTTGTGGAGCCAGTCAGCTAGAAGATGGTCAGCATGGCACACATTGCCTTTTTTTCTGTAGGTAATGGTTGACCTGCTGACAGGGTGCACACTTTTGCTACTCACTGACACATGATGTTCAGTAATAACCTCTTGAGTACAAATTGTCTTTTATATCTAAATAATGACCCGCTGACAGGGGTTCCAACCTAAGCCACTTACTAACACTGAATGTTCACTAACAAGCTTTGAGGACAAATTGCATCTTCAACTGATATGTTGTAAGTACTGCTGACATTGACGATGAACTGCAGTTGTAACGGTGAACTGTTTGTGTTGGCACTTCTGCCTTATACATTGTATGTGTATGTTAACTAATGACTATGTCAAGACTGCAGTCTGTTTTAATGTGATCATCAAGGACAATGATAGACATTGTGTGCGGTTTTCCTTGGCACAGGAATTAAGCAACTGTAGGGTGACCTGTTTGCTGTGAAGTTGGAACTATGATTACATGATTACCTGCATTTGATATCTATAGGTAATGACCCCCTGACTTGGCATTTGAAGCTGAGCCACTCACTAACATTGGATGTACAGTAACTGGCTGTGAGGATAGCTGCTGGATGTGTTCACTGAGGTCAGCTAGTGGTTGAGGACAGGCAGTCATGTTGTCTGCTGTTGTGTTGATTCAGAACCTGCGCTGGCTGGTGCCCACCAGCTTCATGCTGGGGGCAGCTCCCGCATACATCAGCGTCTGGTTTCTCTGGCGGCTGATGACTGCTGTCCTACCTCGATGGCTCTATGTCAAGGGAGATGACTTCATGTTCTCTACCTACCACAGAAATCTCCTCTTCTACTTTGAGACACTGACAGGAGTAGAGGTGAGTCTTGCCGTCATGTATTCATAGATTCTGGCATTCCATGTGACGTATCTTGATGCAATAGGGCACCAACACCTCATATGATTAGCTTTCACCAATTATCTAATCTTGTTCTTTTTTTTTCAGCTTATTCTAGTCTAGAAATTAAACAGCATTAAAAGTCTATGGTTTAGCACTAGCAAGGAAATCAAAATTAAAATTTTGAGAGTATGCATCTTCCCTGAAGCAACATACTGATGTGAGCAGTGGACTATCTCCCAGTCTTAAAAAAATAGGGGCTTTTGAGCTGAAATGCTAAAGAAAGATTCTCAGAATACCATAGACATTAAGAAATACTGACATTTTAAAATATCTGAACATCAAGGAGGATTGGCTAATAGACAGCATCTTGCCTCGGAAGCTGAAAATTATTTGTCATATCAAGCGCCATGGCAGATTGGGAAAAAAATAATAATAGAAGGCATGGTACCGGAAGGAGGGACATGGGCTGACCGACACGACGATGGGCAGAGGATATAAGTGACTCCTTGAATATGAAAAAAAAGTACATCAGGAGGGAGAGCTTGTGAGAGACCGAGTTTCTTTCAGGCAGACTGTGATGATAGCAACATTCTGCAAAGGACCTGCTACATGATGATGATATTCTATAAACTTTGTCCTGACCCAGATTTATAGGTATGAAATAAAAATTATAAAATTAATTGTTTTTCGTGGATGGCACAAGTTGACGTTCGCTGACAAATCCTATTGGCATGAAATGTTGAGTTCTTCATGAGGGAAAGCTAACAGATACATTTGAAATAAAAAAAAGGTGTGCGACAGGGATGTCTTTTGTCGCCTCTCCTATTTTTACTGGCAGTAGGCTGGATTATGAAGACAGTAACTGCTAACACCAAAAATGGATTTCAGTGGACCCCTACAAAACGACTTGATGATTTGGACTTCGCTGATGATATTTCTCTTCTGTCCCATTCATGGAATCGTATGCAAGATAAATTAAATATATTTGATGCAAGATCACAGCAGCTAGGTCTGAAAATCCATAAAGGAAAGACAAAGATAATGGGAATAAATCAGGCAAATAGTAATGTAGTTTCTCTTAATGGCATCCCACTCCAAGACGTGGAGTCGTACACCTATTTGGGCAGTTATGTAGATAAAGAAGGAGGAACTGATAGAGATATTAAAATAAGAATACAAACGGCAAGAGAAGCTTTTGTAGCACTAGGGGTTTTGTGAAGGTCAACAGGAATTTAAAGAAATACTAAACTTAAAATGTTTAATTCTAATGTCAAGTCAGTACTTTTGTATGGGGCGGAAACATGAAGAACAACTAAGGCAATTACTGATAAATTACAGACATTCATTAACTTGTGCCTGCGCAGAATAGAGGGATTAAATGGTATGATAGAATAACTAATGTAGGGCTTTGGGAGAGAACTGAGCAATCTCCAGTGGACCAAGAGGTGAGGAAAAGATGCTGGCGTTGGATAGGACACACATTGAGAAAACCGGAGAACAGCATAACTAGAATGTCTTTGCATTGGAACCCACAGGGGCAAAGGAATAAAGGGAGGCCAAAAAACACATGGAGAAAAGAGCTGGAGAATGAAGTTAGAAAGATGGTGAGGACATGGGAGAGCTCCATGTAATAGCGAAGAACGACTTGCCGTAAGTTGGTTGAGGGCCTATGCTTCATTGGGGGATAGAAAGGCAGAAGAAAAAGACTGTGACAATATTCATGCTCACATTGTATTTGTTAGAGTACACAGTATCCATTCATTATGAGAAGGGTTCAAATCTTATGACACAGTGGCTTTCAGTGAGTTCTCTGTGGAGCACTGGGGCTGCAGTTACAACTGCATATGGTTGTTTATTCTGTACAACTGGAGTCATTCAGACTCTGTTACACAGCCAGCACAATTCAAGAGAATATCCTTTCAGGAAAATATGAAACCCTGCATTCTGCAATAGACATATCCTTGCTGGCTGATTTCTTGTCTCCAAGTCCTAAAATAATTCTCCTGGCATGCTTATCTCTCATCTTTCATAGCTATTTCCACTTCTCTGCACAGTAGCGGCTTCATCTTGTGTGCGCCACTCACAGCAACTCCCAATTCTCACAATCTTACCAGCAGTATGGTATGGGGTGGCTAGAGGGCTCATCCACTGCTACCTTGTCTTATTTGGTAAATACTGGTCTACAGTATGTATAGAAACCAGGTGTGTACATAGCCGGTGTGGGTATCTAAAGCTCCAAGCCCTGATTCTTCTGCTTATTTCTGTGATGTACACATATTTTGTCTCTGTTGTTTCCCCAGTTGCTGTTCTATGGTGACTTGAGTGCAGTACAGGAACTGCAAGATGGAGAGAACTGTCTCTATATGTCTAATCATCAGACTACAAGTAAGAAACATTTTGTAACTGTCTCTGTCTTTCACACCAACAGTTTACAAGTAAGGAACATATGTAACTGTCTCTGTCTGTCACACCAACAGTTTACAAGTAATGAACATATGTAACATCTCTGTCTGTCAAATCATCAGACTACAAGTAAGAAACATATTGTAACTGTCTCTGTCTGTCAAACCAACAGACTACAAGTAAGGAACATATTGTAACTGTCTATCTGTCAAATCATTAGATTTAAGTAAGGAACATAGGGTAACTTTTCTATCTGTCTGTTGTATGCTGTATACTTGAAACCCTTTGCAAACTATGCTTTGCATAATGAAGTATCTAGTTGATGATTTAAGCTTCAGTATGAGGTGTTACACAGTTCAGCACAACATAACAATCTGCTTACGATACATACTTTCATTTAACGGAATGTTCGTGTCTACTATGATCCTTATGGATCCCGAGTTCAAGACTTGCAACTGCTGATGACTAGTCCAAATAGTGAAATGACATCCATACAAGAACTTTGCGAACTTGCACACTGCATGATATATCGCCAAAGCTTCTCGTTGTCCGATGCTGTATCAGGTCTTGGCCAGAGTTAACTTTCTGCTAGCATATATGACTGGATACAGATTTATCCGATACTCTTGCAGTAGGGTGGCGCCAATCCTAACGCCAGATGCGTCACATGAAACATAAAGATAAATCACCTAAACATAACAATGGCATACTATTTAATGAACTTTGTGAGTCATGTAATTCCTTTGAGCATTGTTCCACCCACTTTATCTTGTTGGGCATACCCTTCCTAGTTAACGAAGACGGTACAGCTGTGATAATTGAATAGCGAGGGATGAATGTAGAATACAAATTCCCCAACCCCAGTAAAGCACGTTCTTCCTTCTTTTTAGGAACAGGAATTTTCAGCTATACTCCACAGTCGCTGGTATGGGTTTTCTCACTCCTTTTCCTATAATGTGACCTAAGAAGGTAACTTCTTCATTGCCACTTGAACCTCTGTAGATCTGACTGTGAGTCCAAATGCTCTGATGCGTTCTAACATGGTTTTTAACCTATAAATGTGGTCTTCCAAATTGTCATGAAACAACAGTATTTTATCTAGCTAATGGATGACATTAGCATGTGGCTGGAGCACTGGTTAAACCAAATGTTTAAAAATGAAATTGAAAAAAAATAAATCATTTTCTGTACGAAACGCAGTATGCTTTTTGGACTCCTGGGATAAGAGAAGAGAATTTGCCAGTACCCTTTAGCTAAGTCGAAGTTTGTAAAATAAAATCTAGCTTTACCCAAGAAATTCAACAAATCTTCTATATTTGTCACACTTTCCTCATCGATAACAGTATTTTGATTAAGCTTTCAGAAATCAATACAGATTCAAATGGAACCATCTTTCTTCCGAACTACAGCCATCGGAAACGAATATGGAGAATTAGACGACTCAGTTACTCCCATTTTTATCATGTCATCGATTTCCTTATTAACGAAATCTTTCTAATGTAATGGTAACTCATACCGCTTTATCCTAATAGGACAATCATCTAATAACTATCTTGTGCACTACTGCTGTGGTTTTGCCTAGTATGTCAGATAAAGTACTGTCAAATATGGCCAGCATTTTACAGATCTGACTGTGATATTCTTCTCGAATAGCAGATTTTTTCACATGCTTTCATGACTCTTTGGGTACCAGATGTGACAGATACACTTCAAGTTGCATGCTATCGTCAGCTTCTTCCATAATTTCTTCAACATGACAAAATGCTGCCTCAGCAGTAGTTTCTTTCATGTCATCAACTGCATTGATAGCAGTGTTTAAACTGGGCGGTCGAGACATATACCTCTTCATCATATCAATATGATAAACCTTTAGCTTTCCTTTAACATTCACAAGATAGTCAACTGAAGAAATCTTTTTGACCAGTGTGTGGTCCTTTTCAACAATCTAGTAAATAATCGGTCATCTGGCAACAGGACTAAGACTTCAACATTCATCTAGTGTTGCCAATTGTCGATTACGATTTACCTACTTTCGCTGTTGTGTTCCAGATACTTCACAACTGTCTTTTGCTACTTGACATGCTGGAATGACTCTGTGTCTTAACTCTGTGGCAGATTCAGCATACATCTGCAGAGCTTCTCTGTTTTCTTCTTTTGTCAGCATATCCTTCAAAATAGACATTGATCCTCTAGGATTCACTCCATAAACACACTTGATCAGTGAGAATCCTGTGCTAGTTTACAGTAGCTTGCAGTAAGCAAATAATGTACGAACAAACTTTATTTTTAAAGGGTCAAAAACTAGGTGAGCAGACCCGTCTTACATTCAGCCCTTCCAAACACCAATCTGTTTATCTGCAGTAGGTGGTTTCAAAAACTCCTTTTCCTTCTTTGGATTCTGCTCCGTTGACTGTCCTTTCTTGTAGAAACTCCATTTCAGTTTGTGACCTGTAGAAGGAAGCTTTACCTGCAGACTTGTTGCAACAGGCATATTTTGCTTTTTAATTTCAATCCTAGCTTTTTAGTCATGCTAACAAATTCAGCGAACGGCATTTTGTGCATATTATGTGAGCAATTTAATGAAAATGGTTGATTAGACGCCACCGAACGCTACCCAAAAAAAAAAAAAATTTACTTTTTGAAAACTAAACGAGGAGTGAACAATATCCTATATATCTGTGAAATCTAACACTTAGGAAAATAGACCGAGAGTACATGAGATAATAGCTAACTAAAACGAACTATATGTGCAGGACTAAAGACAGCACCTTACGTAGACACGCTAGCTATCATGGTCTAAGAAGTGACTGATATCACTATTGGTACCCTCAAAGGGAAAATAGCAAATCCGGCTTCTAAGATGTGAACCACACCAATTATACAAAACCTAGGTGTGCTTCCTCCCAACCTGCCCGCTTACAATACACAAAAATGAAAATGAAGTCTTAGGTTGCCAACCATATAAACTAGGCAGAGCAATGTAAAAATTGAAGCAAAAAGCATAACACAATTTACAGTCACATACTTGTCAATGATCAGCGATGAGGTGTATAGATAAATGAAGTTGACAGACACTCCAAGTTGAATCAATGTGAAAGACCCTCAAACTGGACCAGGCTATGTCAGATACATTGTAGCTGAATTAGGTTTTCTGCTCCACTGTCCTGAAGTGCATGTAGACTTGCAGTGCAGCACATACAATTTACTTTAACATAGACTGTTAAATATCTTGCTGGTCCAAGTGACAAGAAGGGACAAAGTTCGTAGACAATATTTCATGTCCTTGAAACCCACGCCTTACAAACTCGAGTGAATCAGTCACAGTTATGATGGTTTGGGGTTTGGACATGTATTCGAGAGAATTGCCTGACATGGGAGGCCACGGTCTAGGGTACCAGACGAGCCAAAGTCGCTGGCAAGACCACATGGGGATAGTCCCTGACTGATAAAGGACTTGAATAGAACAAAACTACAAAGAAAACTGCTGTTGGGGAAATCTGGCAATCTTTCTGGCAAACCTCTACACCCCAAGTTAGAAGAGGAGTGACTAAACTAAGTAAGTGAATACAGTCTTGTTTCTATGTTCCAACTAGTCTTGTTTTTTGTTGCTCACTTCTAGTGGACTGGGTGTTAGCCTCATGTGTGGCTGTACGTCGTGGGAGCCTGGGACGTGTCCGCTATGTTCTCAAGGATGGGCTAAAGTTCCTGCCTTTCTATGGTGTTTACCTGGGCCTGGTAGGTTAGCGCTGTGATTGATTGAGTGGGTGGGGGAGTGACTGAATAAGTAAATGAGTGGGTGAGTAATTGAATAAGTAATTGAGTGATTGAATAATTAATTAAGTGGGTGCGTAAGTGATTAAATTAGTAAATAAATGGGTGAGTGATTGAATAGTGGGTGGGTAAGTGATTGAGTTAGTTATTAAGCGGGTTAGTGGTTAAATAAGTGGTTGGGTGAATGATTAAATAATTAATTGATTTGGTGGGGTGATTTATTAAGTAACTGAGTGGGGGTGGGTAATTTAATAAGTAATTGAGAGGGTGAGAGACTGAATAAGTAATTGAGTGGGTAAATGATTGGATAAGTAATGGAGTGAGTGATTTATTGAATAAATAATTGAGTGGGTGATTGATTAAGTAATTGAGTGGGTGAATGATTGGATAAGTAATTTTAGTGAGTGGTTTGTTCAATAAATAATTGAGTGGGTGATTGATTGAGTAAGTAAGTAATTGAGTGGGTGAGTGATTAAGTAATTGAGTGGATGAGTGATTGAGTAAGTAATGAGTGGGTGACTAATTAGGTCAGTAATTGAATAAGTAAATGAGTAATTGAGTGGATGGGTAGTCATTAAATGAGTAATTGAGTGGGGGAGTGATTAAATAAATAATTAAACAGGTGAGTAATTGAAAAAGTAATTAAGTGGGTTAGTGATTGAATAAGTAACTGAGTGGGTAGGTGAGTGATTGAATAAGTAATTGTTTGGATAAGTGATTAAATAAGTATTTGAATGGATGGGTGAGTTTGTGGTTGAGTAGGCTGAGTGAGTGAATGAGTGATCAGTTTGGTTGCTGGGTTATTGAGTTAGTGACTGGGTGAGTTAGTAGGTTAGTGATTGAGTAAGCAAGTGAGTAAGTTGGTGATTGAGTCAATTGGTGGGTGAGTGATTGAGTCACTGATTGGTTGAGCGAGAGATAGCCTGATCAGTCGTATCCCAACTCTACAGCTGAGATGTTAGCTATAGAGAAGCATCATTACCCCAACTGGCTGCCACTAGATGGTAATCTTGTCCAGTACAGTCTTTGTACTAGCAGCTGTGGAGAGTGGTCAGTTCCCACAATACCTCACCATACTGTATGGAAGACAATGTCAGCAGAGTGGTTGTATGGGCAATGAATTATGTTGAATTAAGAATCGACATCATAGCACTTGAAACCCCCCCCCCCCCCCCCCAGCACTCCACCTCCATCTTTACCCACAAGCGAAAAGTTCCAATTCCAATGGCACCAGTAACTGTCTGATTATATATCCATCTCCCTTTATCCGAGTGTTAAGCATCAGCCAGGCTGGCTATATTGCGGCCCCTGGCCTGAGCCAGAGTAGGGCTTCAAATAACAACAAATTTCATCCTAAAAAGGACGGAAGTGTTAATCACCATCATAAAACAGGCTGTGGCAGACAGTATCAACAAATAGACTTATGGGCAGGGAGGACAGTAGTAAAAGATAGACTTTTTAGGGAAGATGGTGTCAGCAGATAGATGTACGGGCAGAAAAGACAGTGTCAACAGATAGACTTACAGGCAAGGAAGACAGTGTCAACAGATAGACTTGTCAGGAAAAATGGTGTCAGCAGATAGACTTACAGTCAGGAAAGACAATATCAACAGAAAGACTTACTGGCAAGGAAGACAGTGTCAACAGATGGACTGATGGGCAGTAGCAGACAGTATCAACAGATAGACTTATGAGCAGGGAAGACAATATCAACAGATAGACTTATGAGCAGGGAAGACAAAATCAACAGATAGACTTATGAGCAGGGAAGACAATATCAACAGATAGACTTATGGGCAGTAGCAGACAATATCAACAGATAGACTTATGAGCAGGGAAGACAATATCAACAGATAGACTTATGAGCAGGAAAGACAATATCAACAGATAGACTTATGAGCAGGAAAGACAATATCAACAGATAGACTTATGAGCAGGGAAGACAATATCAACAGATAGACTTATGAGTAGGGAAGACAATATCAACAGATAGACTTATGAGCAGGAAAGACAATATCGACAGATATACTTTTTGGGCAGGAAGACAGTATCAGCGGGATGTTAACAATCTGACTCATTGTTTGAGGACAAGAGAACTGTCAGGCTGTGAGAATAATAGAAACTCTGCCCATCATTGACTGCTCTGTTGGGCTACAGCTGAAGCCTGACATGCAAGGACCCAGTTGTCTGCTCAATGCAAACATGCAAGACCAGCCTGTTTCACCAGCATCTGTGTGTTGGTTTCAGTAAGGTGGAGTTTGTTTCACAGGGTTGTGCTATCCACAGTCAGCTGAGAAGGCTAAACTCACAAGTCTGTCCATACAGCTGAACTCAGAAGTCTGTCCATACAGCTGAACTCACAAGTCTGTTGTCATGAGTCAACTTTACCACACACTGTGAGAGAAAGACAAACAACAACTAGACTGACTCATAACAGCAGACAGGTCAATTACTGGTCAGACGGGTTGTGTGTAGACCAGCAGGGCTATACAGGTAACTGAGTGGGGAGGTTACAGGGGGACTTGACAAACAGGTAGAGCGACACACGGCAGTTAATAGTTTGACAGTCCAGTGAACGGATGTGTTTGTCTGGTGCCCTTTTACAAATGTTGGAATTCTTTTTGCTTGATAAGGACTGGATTTAAAACTGTGGAGACTACAGTAGTGGTTATTCATACTTGTGACTAGTGTTTCTGTTGTATAGCCAGATTATAAAGTTAAGTGTGGTAGCTAGGATGATACGTAATTATTGCTATAGAGGCATCCGCTAGCCTCTCATGACTTTGTTCATATTGCGAGGATGATTTGTGATCAACTATACCAGCATACTGTTGATGTGTTTAGCCAATGACTACCTTGGATTAGTCTGCTGGTGAACCATAAAAATAAAATCGGTGGTTACTCAGTAGTCGATAACGTTGTGTGGAAGCCATACTAATTTTGCAATTATTATGAGTACTTAAATAAAGATTATTTGAGAACTGAAACAAGGTCATCAGCGTTTACATGTTTCATGAAAGTGTGAGTAAACCTGGCACACATAACAATGGTACTTTGTCACACATATAAAAGGTGTCTGACATCTGTCCATACAGCTTAACTCACAAGCCTGTCCATACAGCTAAACTCACAAGTCTGTCCATACAGCTAAACTCACAAGTCTGTCTATACAGCTAAACTCACAAGTCTGTCTATACAGCTAAACTCACAAGTCTGTCTAAACAGCTAAACTCACAAATCTGTCTATGTTTCTAAACTCACAAGTCTGTCCATACAGCTAAACTCACAAGTCTGTCCATACAGCTAAACTCACAAGTCTGTCCCTACAGCTGATCTGCCATGTCTGTCTATACAGCTAAAGTCACAAGTCTGTCCATGTTTCTAAACTCACAAGTCTGTTCATGTTTCTAAACTCACAAGTCTGTCCATACAGCTAAACTCACAAGTCTGTCCATACAGCTAAACTCACAAGTCTGTCCATACAGCTAAACTCACAAGTCTGTCCATACAGCTAAACTCACAAGTCTGTCCATACAGCTAAACTCACAAGTCTGTCCATACAGCTAAACTCACAAGTCTGTCCATACAGCTAAACTCACAAGTCTGTCCATACAGCTAAACTCACAAGTCTGTCCATACAGCTAAACTCACAAGTCTGTCCATACAGCTAAACTCACAAGTCTGTCCATACAGCTAAACTCGCAAGTCTGTCCCTACAGCTGATCTGCCATGTCTGTCTATACAGCTGATCTGCCATGTCTGTCTATACAGCTAAAGTCACAAGTCTGTTTATGTTTCTAAACTCACAAGTCTGTTCATGTTTCTAAACTTACAAATCTGTTCATGTTTCTAAACTTACAAGTCAGTTCATGTTTTTAAACTCACAAGTCTGTCCATGTTTCTAAACTCACAAGTCTGTTCATGTTTCTAAACTCATAAGTCTGTCCCTACAGCTGACCTGCCATGTCTGTCTATACAGCTGATCTGCCATGTCTGTCTATACAGCTAAAGTCACAAGTCTGTTCATGTTTCTAAACTTACAAGTCTGTTCATGTTTCTAAACCCTCAAGTCTGTTCATGTTTCTAAACTTACAAGTCTGTTTATGTTTCTAAACTTACAAGTCTGTTCATGTTTTTAAACTCACAAGTCTGTTCATGTTTCTAAACTTACAAGTCTGTTCATGTTTCTAAACTTACAAGTCTGTTCATGTTTTTAAACTCACAAGTCTGTCCCTACAGCTGACCTGCCATGTCTGTCTATACAGCTGATCTGCCATGTCTGTCTATACAGCTAAAGTCACAAGTCTGTTCATGTTTCTAAACTCACAAGTCTGTTCATGTTTCTAAACTTACAAGTCTGTTCATGTTTTTAAACTAACAAGTCTGTTCATGTTTCTAAACTCACAAGTCTGTTCATGTTTCTAAACTCATAAGTCTGTCTCTACAGCTGACCTGCCATGTCTGTCTATACAGCTGATCTGCCATGTCTGTCTATACAGCTGATCTGCCATGTCTGTCTATACAGCTGACCTGCCATGTCTGTCTATACAGCTGACCTGCCATGTCTGTCTATACAGCTGATCTGCCATGTCTGTCTATGCAGCTAAACTCACAAGTCTGTTCATGTTTCTAAACTCACAAGTCTGTTCATGTTTCTAAACTCACAAGTCTGTTCATGTTTCTAAACTTACAAATCTGTTCATGTTTCTAAACCTACAAGTCTGTTCATGTTTTTAAACTCACAAGTCTGTCCATGTTTCTAAACTCACAAGTCTGTTCATGTTTCTAAACTCATAAGTCTGTCCCTACAGCTGACCTGCCATGTCTGTCTATACAGCTGATCTGCCATATCTGTCTATACAGCTAAAGTCACAAGTCTGTTCATGTTTCTAAACTTACAAGTCTGTTCATGTTTCTAAACTTACAAGTCTGTTCATGTTTCTAAACTTACAAGTCTGTTCATGTTTCTAAACTTACAAGTCTGTTCATGTTTCTAAACTTACAAGTCTGTTCATGTTTTTAAACTCACAAGTCTGTCCATGTTTCTAATCTCACAAGTCTGTTCATGTTTCTAAACTCATAAGTTTGTCCCTACAGCTGACCTGCCATGTCTGTCTATACAGCTGATCTGCCATGTCTGTCTATACAGCTAAAGTCACAAATCTGTTCATGTTTCTAAACTTACAAGTTTGTTCGTGTTTCTAAACTTACAAGTCTGTTCATGTTTTTAAACTCACAAGTCTGTCCATGTTTCTAAACTCACAAGTCTGTTCATACAGCTAAACTCACAAGTCTGTCCATACAGCTAAACTCACAAGTCTGTCCATACAGCTAAACTCACAAGTCTGTCCATACAGCTAAACTCACAAGTCTGTCTATACAGCTAAACTCACAAGTCTGTCCATACAGCTAAACTCACAAGTCTGTCCGTACAGCTAAACTCGCAAGTCTGTTAGTTAGTTAGTTAGTTAGTTAGTTAGTTAGTTAGTTAGTTAGTTAGTTAATCCTCATTGCACTCCGGACATGTCCATAGGTGCTCAGATCCTCCCCTCAGTATGAACCCCAACGTCCGATGGCTAATAGTACCAGTTCTATGTTGATTAACTAGTCTTTTGGTGTGCGTCTCGTTTTTTGCTGTGCCGATCTTAATTCCCAAGTCTGCCATTCTGGCGAGTGATGTGGATTCACTGCCACCAAAGTCCTCTATCCTTCTCATTTCTCTTAGGGCATTGATAATATCAGCATGATCCATAGGCTGACCGTCGGTAGTGATAGCGGATCCAGCCAACCTGTCAGCTCTTTCATTTCCATCGACGCCTGCGTTTCCCGGAACAAAAATAAAGGTGACTCCATCACAGTGGACTTCTGTAATGATTCAAGCCATTATCTTCGCACTGAACCTGCCTGAACCCTCCGGATCATACTCATTGAATCACCGAGTATACATACTTGGGTGTATTTTTGTGTTTAAAGCCAGGCAAACGCTTGCGTCACTGCCATCACCTCCATCGTCAAGCTGCTGGTTGTCATGGAGAAGGCGCCGTTGGCTTCTTTGACTGTTGTGTCCGTTGAGCGTGCTGTGAATGCCCATGCGCTTCTTTTTTGGCGTTTAACGGATCCGTCTGTATAGATTATTGCATCTGCTTCGTCTGAATTTTCACCGATGAGAGCGTTGACCTCTGCATTAACAGCAACAGGATTCTCTTCTCTACATCACCTGTTGAGTGTGACAATACAGGAAAATGTACAAATAAACGCCTGAGGCACAGGTATCCATTCTGCACCAGGTATGATGTCAGTTAGGCTGCATATTTACCTAATAACATCTTCTGCCCGACCTAGCCACGATTTCCCCCTCTTCAGTCTGTCGCCCTTTTCACTAAAAAGCGCTTGATGCAGTGGGTGTTTCTTATCAGCACATATTTTGAGATATGCCCGAGCCCTCCACATCCTGATTCTTTGGTTCATTGTTGGAAAGTCAAGTAGATACCTCATTGCTCCACAGGATGTGTCTCTTGTACATCCGAAAATAATGCGCATGGCTTCATTTTGCACCTTTTCGAGTCGTTCAATCTGGGTAGCACTGACAGTGAGGATGGCCAGAGCGTATTCAATGGGGAAAAGGACCAGACCGTAGAAAAGAAGTATTAGTAGTCTTTGCTCAATATTGGAAGCAGCCATAATCCTCATTGCAGATAGACCTTTGCGTGCTTTTGTTATCACACGGTCAACGTGTTCCCTGAATGACAAGCTGCGATCGAACCTCACCCCGAGAAACGTCATAACGTTGGTTCTGATCAATACATTATCGACTCGCAAGTCTGTCTATACAGCTAAACTCACAAGTCTGTCCATACTGCTAAACTCACAAGTCTGTCCATACAGCTAAACTCACAAGTCTGTTCATGTTTCTAAACTCACAAGTCTGTCTATACAGCTAAACTCACAAGTCTGTCCATACAGCTAAACTCACAAGTCTGTTCATGTTTCTAAACTCACAAGTCTGTCCATACAGCTAAACTCACAAGTCTGTCCATACAGCTAAACTCACAAGTCTGTCCATACAGCTAAACTCACAAGTCTGTCCATACAGCTAAACCCGCAAGTCTGTCCATACAGCTAAACTCACAAGTCTGTCCATACAGCTAAACTCGCAAGTCTGTCCCTACAGCTGACCTGCCATGTCTGTCTATACAGCTAAAGTCACAAGTCTGTTCATGTTTCTAAACTCACAAGTCTGTCCATGTTTCTAAACTTACAAGTGTACTGTTTCCTGATATAGCATGGCTCAGTGTTTGTGAGACGTGCTGGCAAGTTCCAGAAAGATCGAGCAGAGAAACAGCTCAGACAGGATGCCCAAGACAGAAAACCAGTAATGCCATTTTGTGGTTGTCGGTGTGTTATTGATTACATAGCACATGTAGCTACTGTGGTTGTCAGTGTGGTATTGATTATATGGCACATGTAGCTACTGTGGTTGTCAGTGTGTTATTGATTACATGGCACATGTAGCTACTGTGGTTGTCAGTGTGTTGTTGATTACATGGCACATGTAGCTACTGTGGTTGTCAGTGTGTTATTGATTACATAGCACATGTAGCTACTGTGGTTGTCAGTGTGTTGTTGATTACATGGCACATGTAGCTACTGTGGTTGTCAGTGTGTTATTGATTACATGGCACATGTAGCTACCGTGGTTGTCAGTGTGTTATTGATTACATGGCACATGTAGCTACTGTGGTTGTCAGTGTGTTATTGATTACATGGCACATGTAGCTACTGTGGTTGTCAGTGTGGTATTGATTACATGGCACATGTAGCTACTGTGGTTGTCAGTGTGTTGTTGATTATATGGCACATGTAGCTACTGTGGTTGTCAGTGTGGTATTGATTATATGGCACATGTAGCTACTGTGGTTGTCAGTGTGTTGTTGATTACATGGCACATGTAGCTACTGTGGTTGTCAGTGTGTTGTTGATTACATGGCACATGTAGCTACTGTGGTTGTCAGTGTGTTGATTACATGGCACATGTAGCTACTGTGGTTGTCAGTGTGTTATTGATTATATGGCACATGTAGCTACTGTGGTTGTCAGTGTGGTATTGATTATATGGCACATGTAGCTACTGTGGTTGTCAGTGTGTTATTGATTATATGGCACATGTAGCTACTGTGGTTGTCAGTGTGGTATTGATTATATGGCACATGTAGCTACTGTTGTTGTCAGTGTGTTATTGATTACATGGCACATGTAGCTACTGTGGTTGTCAGTGTGTTATTGATTACATGGCACATGTAGCTACTGTGGTTGTCAGTGTGTTATTGATTACATGGCACATGTAGCTACTGTGGTTGTCAGTGTGTTATTGATTTCATGGCACATGTAGCTACTGTGGTTGTCAGTGTGGTATTGATTATATGGCACATGTAGCTACTGTGGTTGTCAGTGTGTTATTGATTATATGGCACATGTAGCTACTGTGGTTGTCAGTGTGTTATTGATTACATGGCACATGTAGCTACTGTGGTTGTCAGTGTGTTGTTGATTATATGGCACATGTAGCTACTGTGGTTGTCAGTGTGTTATTGATTATATGGCACATGTAGCTACTGTGGTTGTCAGTGTGTTATTGATTACATGGCACATGTAGCTACTGTGGTTGTCAGTGTGTTATTGATTACGTGGCACATGTAGCTACTGTGGTTGTCAGTGTGTTATTGATTACATGGCACATGTAGCTACTGTGGTTGTCAGTGTGTTATTGATTACATGGCACATGTAGCTACTGTGGTTGTCAGTGTGTTGTTGATTACATAGTAATTGGTAGTGTTACTGGATGGAAGACATTTGGGTTCTAGAGTATTTAAGGCTATCTGGTATGAGAAATGTGCCATCAGTCACAGGTATGTGTCTGGTATGAAAAATGTACCATCAGTCACAGGTATGTCTCTGGTATGAAAAATGTGCCATCAGTCACAATTATTCTCGTAAGATAAATGTGCCATCAATCTAAGGTATTTCTCTGATACGAGAAATTTGCCATAAGTCACAATTATGTCTGGTAAGATAAATGTGCCATCAGTCTCAGGTATATCTCTGGTGTGAAAAATGTGCCATCAGTCACAGGTATGTCTCTGGTATGAAAAATGTGCTGTCAGTCAAGGTTATTTCTCTGCTATGAGAAATAGTCATAGGTATTCTATGATAAATGTGCCATCTGTCACAGGTGTGTCTCTGGTGTTATTGCTTGCAGATGTGGTTGGTGATCTTTCCGGAAGGAACTCGCTACAATCCTGAGTTAGTCAACATTATAGAAGGCAGCAAACGGTTTGCAGAGAATCAAGGTACTTGAGACACACACTTGGAAGACACAACATGGGCACACTTGGGTCTCTGTCAGGCACACCAGTACAGGGAGGTACAACATGGGCACACTTGGGTCTCTGTCAGGCACACCACCACAGGGAGGCACAACATGGACACACTTGGGTCTCTGTCAGGCTCACCACCACAGGGAGGCACAACATGGACACACTTGGGTCTCTGTCAGGCTCACCAGTACAGGGAGGCACAACATGGGCACATTTGGGTCTCTGTCAGGCACACCAGTACAGGGAGGTACAACATGGGCACACTTGGGTCTCTGTCAGGCTCACCACCACAGGGAGGCACAACATGGGCACACTTGGGTCTCTGTCAGGCACACCACCACAGGAAGGCACAACATGGGCACACTTGGGTCTCTGTCAGGCACACCACCACAGGTAGGCACAACATGGGCACACTTGGGTCTCTGTCAGGCTCACCAGTACAGGGAGGCACAACATGGACACACTTGGGTCTCTGTCAGGCACACCACTGCAGGGAGGCACAACATGGACACACTTGGGTCTCTGTCAGGCACACCACCACAGGAAGGCACAACATGGGCACACTTGGGTCTCTGTCAGGCACACCACCACAGGAAGGCACAACATGGGCACACTTGGGTCTCTGTCAGGCTCACCACCACAGGAAGGCACAACATGGGCACACTTGGGTCTCTGTCAGGCACACCACCACAGGAAGGCACAACATGGGCACACTTGGGTCTCTGTCAGGCACACCACCACAGGAAGGCACAACATGGGCACACTTGGGTCTCTGTCAGGCTCACCACCACAGGAAGGCACAACATGGGCACACTTGGGTCTCTGTCAGGCACACCACCACAGGAAGGCACAACATGGGCACACTTGGGTCTCTGTCAGGCACACCACCACAGGAAGGCACAACATGGGCACACTTGGGTCTCTGTCAGGCTCACCACCACAGGAAGGCACAACATGGGCACACTTGGGTCTCTGTCAGGCACACCACCACAGGAAGGCACAACATGGGCACACTTGGGTCTCTGTCAAGCACACCACCACAGGAAGGCACAACATGGGCACACTTGGGTCTCTGTCAGGCTCACCACTGCAGGGAGGCACAACATGGACACACTTGGGTCTCTGTCAGGCACACCAGTACAGGGAGGTACAACATGGACACACTTGGGTCTCTGTCAGGCACACCAGAACAGGGAGGTACAACATGGACACACTTAGGTCTCTGTCAGGCTCACCAGTACAGGGAGGCACAACATGGACACACTTAGGTCTCTGTCAGGCTCACCAGTACAGGGAGGCACATCATGGGCACACTTGGGTCTCTGTCAGGCTCACCAGTACAGGGAGGCACAACATGGACACACTTAGGTCTCTGTCAGGCTCACCAGTACAGGGAGGCACAACATGGACACACTTGGGTCTCTGTCAGGCACACCACCACAGGGAGGCACAACATGGACACACTTAGGTCTCTGTCAGGCTCACCAGTACAGGGAGGCACAACATGGACACACTTGGGTCTCTGTCAGGCACACCACCACAGGGAGGCACAACATGGACACACTTAGGTCTCTGTCAGGCTCACCAGTACAGGGAGGCACAACATGGACACACTTAGGTCTCTGTCAGGCTCACCAGTACAGGGAGGCACAACATGGGCACACTTAGGTCTCTGTCAGGCTCACCAGTACAGAGAGGTACAACATGGACACACTTAGGTCTCTGGAGGGCACACCAGTACAGGGAGGCACAACATGGACACACTTGGGTCTCTGTCAAGCACACCACTGCAGGTTGATGACCTGTTGCCCCCACCTTCCCTTGAACATCTTACACTGTCATTGATGATGAACTGACGCCCCCCCCCCCCTTTTTTTTCTGATCATTTTATATTGTCATTGATGACCTGTTGCCCCTCCCTCCTGATCCTCTCAGTTTTTATTTTTGCAGGGCTGCAACCCCTTGAGTGTGTCTTGTTTCCCAGAATGGGTGCCCTAGAGGTCTGTGTGCAGCAGCTGAGGGAGAGCATCCAGTGTATCTATGATGTGACTATAGCCTATGAGTCTGCATTTCATTTCAAGGGAAAACAGCGCCTTCCAGCTCCTAGCATGCAGGGTAGGTGACATCTGTGACTGTCAGTGGTCTTTAACTTTGTCTGTCATCCAACTCTTATTGTCAGCACTAGTCCTGTCTCCCTTCTCTTGTGTTCACATCTTGTTGTCAACACTAGACCTTCTTTCTCCTTTTTGTTGTGTTCACATCTTATTGTTTAACACTAAACCTTCTTTCTCCTCTCTTCCACTTCTGTCTTTCCCAATTTCACTTCCTCTCTCATCTCTCTTTCCCACTCTCTCTAATTCTGCCAGTATACGATTGTTAGCAATATAATCTTAACTGTTATATGATTGTGGACGGTACAAGTATAATCTTAGCTCTTTTTTAACCTCAACTTTGTCAGCATATTATTGTGAACATCATAGTGAATATAAAACTGTCAACGTATGGTGTGGGTGTCTGCTGTGAAATATGTATGATCATGGCACATTGTAATAGACAAGTATGACTGGCAGTCATGTAAACACACATGGAGTTTAACTAGCTGTCAGCGTAAATTAGGTTTGTTGTCAGCCTTGATTAGGTTCCATTGTCAGCCTAGATTAGGTTCCATTGTCAGCCTAGATTAGGTTCATTCACTGTCAGCTTAGGTTAGGCTCATTCACTGACAACCTAGGTTAGGTTCATTCACTGTCAGCCTAGGTTAGGTTCATTCACTTTCAGCCCAGTGTTGCATGTTGATTCAACATTGTTTGGGTTGATTTAGTGCAGGCTTGGTTGACGGGAATGCTGACACAGCCTGAGTAAATAGTGTGAGTCAATATTGAGCTGTTGTTGACTTAGGACCGGAGTTGTCAGAGGGGCTTGAGTCAATATTTTGTGTATTATTGACTGAAGATCAGAGTGGACCAGTAGACTCACGAAGTGTCAACCGGCCTGGGTAAAGAGTCTTTGTTGGGAGCCTCAGTTATCATAGGGGGGGGGGGGGGGGACTCAGAGAGAATGCATGCATGTACAGAATTAAGAGCAGAGCTGTCATGAGGTCATATTAGAGAGAGAGATTGCAACACTGATCACTTCACAAATATCTGCCCTAACCTTCATCTTTGTGCCAGGTCATGCGGGTGTTCAAGGTAATGAGCGTGCAGACTATCTTGCTGACACTGTTTTTGTTATGGCTGGTCCAGTACTGGACAGAAGTGCTGTTATCAATGCCATGCGCTGCACTTACCGTACCGAGGAGCACGCCAAAAGACATGACTGTGTATCCCTGTCTAACTGATGGACATGCGGGTGCAGCCTGGAGTTGCAAGAAATAAACATTTTACCAAGAAGACAAGATGTTTCATTAACCAACACAGAACAGGCATCATTAGTCATTTTACACTTATGGAGCTTTTGAGCAGGAGATTGGAACACGTATGGATCTGTCCTGAGTGCTGTGATGATAATCCTTTCTAATCATTAATCAGAGAGAGAGAGAGCAGTGCAGAGTTGAGGACTGAGTCATCGAGCAGCACAGAGCTGTGAGATAACTGTCCTTGGGTGACGACGCATTCCGCGGCCATGGTCACTACGGAAAACAAGGCAGTGATTTTACTAGGTACAAGAAGGGATCTTGTAAAATGATATTGTCGGCTGTATGGTGAGGGAGCTCAGAGCTTGGACTCCTGCTGGTCAGTGTTGAATCTATAAACGTGGCTGATTGAGAGTCTAAGGATTGTAGGTTTTCAATCAGCCCAAGGTAAATGTGCTTGTTAGATTATATCAACGGAGGTCAGCTGTGTACATGAGATGGAGCCTGTTCATCCTTACGGCTAGTCCTGACGAAAAAGTTTTCCAGCGGCCTAGACACTGAAGCGGTGAGCTTAAGAGTGATCGACAGCAAGTTGTAAGCTATGTCATGGAGCGCCGTTATAGCTATTTGTCGTGTATGAAACGTAATGAGGTTAATTCCATGTTAGCCAACGTAAGGACATGTGTCACATTGCTTCATACCATTTCTTGTGTGGGAGTTGGAGAACCCGAATATTCCTGTCAATAAATGTATGATAGACAACCATTGTTGAGTTTTCCTGACAGTATGCTCATGAGTTTTGTACAACAGTTAGGAGTTCGAGCGCAAGTCATATACTAGACACTTGGTTATATGTCCGTGTGCTGCCATCCCATATTAGTACATTACATCTAGATTAGGTTCATTTACTTTCAGCCTAGATTAGGCTCATTTGTGTTTTTATTGTGTGTCTGTGGGTGTGTATCTATGTATGTGTTTGTTTGTGCGTGTATGTCTGCATGTAGGACTGTGTGTATGTGTCTGTATGTGTATCTGTGTGTATGTGTCTACATGTGTCTGTGTGTGTTTTTTCTTGTCTGTGTGTTCTACATGTATGTGGCTGTGTGTTTGTGTGTGTGTGTCTTTGTTGTGTTTGTGTGTGTGTGTGTGTCTTTGTACGAGCCTGTGTGTGTATGTCTGCATGAATCCCTGTGTATATGTGTGTCTCTGTGTCTATATATATGTGTATGTCTCTGGGTGTGTCTCTACATGTGTGAGTGTGTATGTGCCTGTGTATATGTATGTCTGCATATGTGTCTGTGGGTGTGTGTCTGCATGTATCTGTGTGTGTATCTGTTTTGTGTGCCTGTGTGTATGTGTCTGCATGAGCATCAGCATGTGTATTTCTGCGATTGTGTGTGTTTTTGTGTGCCTCCGAGTATGTCCATGTCCGTGTATCTGAGTGTGTTTTGTGTCTGTGTGTGTCCCGCGTGTGTGTCTGTGTGTGTGTGTGTATGCGGGTTTGTGTGTGTGTTGTCGCTTGTGTGTGTGTGTATCTGCGTGTGTGATTGGATCTGGGGGTGTGTTTTGTGTGTGTGAAGGAATGTGGGTGTGTTTAAGTGGGTGGATGTGTGTGTGCGTGCGCTAGTGTGTGCATGGGTGTTTTACCACCCATGCTTCTGTGCTTTTTCTTCTTTTTTTTTTGTTTTTTGGTATTCATAATATGCATATTATCATATGAAAATAACATGCTTTTTGATCAAATACGGGTGCAGTGTGAAAGACGGGTGTTTGGAAGGGCCGAATGTAAGATGGGCCTTTGAAAATAAAGTTTGTTTGTTCATTCGTTCATTCATTGTGAGTCTAGAGTAGGCTTACCCTGTCAGTCTGGATCAGGCTTATTCACTGTCAGTCTAGATTAGGCTCATTCATTGTCAGTCTAGATCAGGCTCATTCATTGTCAGTCTAGATCAGGCTCATTCACTGTCAGTCTAGATAAGGCTCATTCATTGTTAGTCTAGATTAGGCTCATTCATTGTCAGTCTAGATTAGACTCATTCATTGTCAGTCTAGATCAGGCTAATTCATTGTCAGTCTAGATTAGGCTCATTCATTGTCAGTCTAGATTAGGCTCATTTATTGTCAGCCTGAATTAGATTTTTTGAGTGTTACTGACTGTTATTGCATCTGTACCTATTGAAACCATATAATTATGCTTGAGCTATCCAGATCTATCCATTTGTTTAATCATATTGGAAACATTGACAAAACCATCTTTGTGACATTTCTTCTGCAGCGATTGACACAATCACCTTTGTGACATTGCTTCTGCAGCCATTGACAAAACCATCTTTGTGACATTGCTTCTGCAGCGATTGACAAAACCATCTTTGTGACATTGCTTCTGCAGCCATTGACAAAACCATCTTTGTGACATTGCTTCTGCAGCCATTGACAAAACCATCTTTGTGACATTGCTTCTGCAGCCATTGGCAAAACCATCTTTGTGACATTGCTTCTGCAGCCATTGACAAAACCATCTTTGTGACATTGCTTCTGCAGCCATTGACACAACCATCTTTGTGACATTGCATCTGCAGCCATTGACAAAAAACCATCTTTGTGACATTGCTTCTGCAGCCATTGACAAAACCATCTTTGTGACATTGCTTCTGCAGCCATTGACACAACCATCTTTGTGACATTGCTTCTGCAGCCATTGACACAACCATCTTTGGGACATTGCTTCTGCAGCCATTGACACAACCATCTTTGTGACATTGCTTCTGCAGCCATTGACAAAACTATCTTTGTGACATTGCTTCTGCAGCCATTGACACAACCATCTTTGTGACATTTGCTCCTAGCTCTGTTAACACATTACATTGATTTATACTTGTGTGTCATGTGACACAGTTGCTTGATTTACTGTATGTTGATTCAACATTGTTTGGGTTGATTTAGTGCAGGCTTGGTTGACGGGAATGCTGACACAGCCTGAGTAAATAGTGTGAGTCAATATTGAGCTGTTGTTGACTTAGGACCGGAGTTGTCAGAGGGGCTTGAGTCAATATTTTGTGTATTATTGACTGAAGATCAGAGTGGACCAGTAGACTCACGAAGTGTCAACCGGCCTGGGTAAAGAGTCTTTGTTGGGAGCCTCAGTTATCATAGGGGGGGGGGGGGGGGGGGGGGGGGGTGGTCAGAGAGAATGCATGCATGTACAGAATTAAGAGCAGAGCTGTCATGAGGTCATATTAGAGAGAGAGATTGCAACACTGATCACTTCACAAATATCTGCCCTAACCTTCATCTTTGTGCCAGGTCATGCGGGTGTTCAAAGGTAATGAGCGTGCAGACTATCTTGCTGACACTGTTTTTGTTTATGGCTGGTCCAGTACTGGACAGAAGTGCTGTTATCAATGCCATGCGCTGCACTTACCGTACCGAGGAGCACGCCAAAAGACATGACTGTGTATCCCTGTCTAACTGATGGACATGCGGGTGCAGCCTGGAGTTGCAAGAAATAAACATTTTACCAAGAAGACAAGATGTTTCATTAACCAACACAGAACAGGCATCATTAGTCATTTTACACTTATGGAGCTTTTGAGCAGGAGATTGGAACACGTATGGATCTGTCCTGAGTGCTGTGATGATAATCCTTTCTAATCATTAATCAGAGAGAGAGAGCAGTGCAGAGTTGAGGACTGAGTCATCGAGCAGCACAGAGCTGTGAGATAACTGTCCTTGGGTGACGACGCATTCCGCGGCCATGGTCACTACGGAAACAAGGCAGTGATTTTACTAGGTACAAGAAGGGATCTTGTAAATGATATTGTCGGCTGTATGGTGAGGGAGCTCAGAGCTTGGACTCCTGCTGGTCAGTGTTGAATCTATAAACGTGGCTGATTGAGAGTCTAAGGATTGTAGGTTTTCAATCAGCCAAGGTAAATGTGCTTGTTAGATTATATCAACGGAGGTCAGCTGTGTACATGAGATGGAGCCTGTTCATCCTTACGGCTAGTCCTGACGAAAAAGTTTTCCAGCGGCCTAGACACTGAAGCGGTGAGCTTAAGAGTGATCGACAGCAAGTTGTAAGCTATGTCATGGAGCGCCGTTATAGCTATTTGTCGTGTATGAAACGTAATGAGGTTAATTCCATGTTAGCCAACGTAAGGACATGTGTCACATTGCTTCATACCATTTCTTGTGTGGGAGTTGGAGAACCCGAATATTCCTGTCAATAAATGTATGATAGACAACCATTGTTGAGTTTTCCTGACAGTATGCTCATGAGTTTTGTACAACAGTTAGGAGTTCGAGCGCAAGTCATATACTAGACACTTGGTTATATGTCCGTGTGCTGCCATCCCATATTAGTACATTACATCTAGATTAGGTTCATTTACTTTCAGCCTAGATTAGGCTCATTTGTGTTTTTATTGTGTGTCTGTGGGTGTGTATCTATGTATGTGTTTGTTTGTGCGTGTATGTCTGCATGTAGGACTGTGTGTATGTGTCTGTATGTGTATCTGTGTGTATGTGTCTACATGTGTCTGTGTGTGTTTTTTCTTGTCTGTGTGTTCTACATGTATGTGGCTGTGTGTTTGTGTGTGTGTGTCTTTGTTGTGTTTGTGTGTGTGTGTGTGTCTTTGTACGAGCCTGTGTGTGTATGTCTGCATGAATCCCTGTGTATATGTGTGTCTCTGTGTCTATATATCTGTGTATGTCTCTGGGTGTGTCTACATGTGTGAGTGTGTATGTGCCTGTGTATATGTATGTCTGCATATGTGTCTGTGGGTGTGTGTCTGCATGTATCTGTGTGTGTATCTGTTGTGTGCCTGTGTGTATGTGTCTGCATGAGCATCAGCATGTGTATGTCTGCGATTGTGTGTGTTTGTGTGCCTCCGAGTATGTCCATGTCCGTGTATCTGAGTGTGTTTGTGTCTGTGTGTGTCCGCGTGTGTGTCTGTGTGTGTGTGTGTATGCCGGTTTGTGTGTGTGTGTCGCTTGTGTGTGTGTGTATCTGCGTGTGTGATTGGATCTGTAAGCGTCTGTCTGTTTGTGTGTGTGTGTCTGCATTTGTTTTTGTTGGTGTGTCTGTGTGTGAAGTGTATATCTGTATGTGTGTGGAATGTGCGTGTCTGTGTGGGTGTGTAGGTATTATGTGGGTGAATGGGGGTGTGTTTTGTGTGTGTGAAGGAATGTGGGTGTGTTTAAGTGGGTGGATGTGTGTGTGCGTGCGCTAGTGTGTGCATGCATTTTACCACCCATGCTTCTGTGCTTTTTCTTCTTTTTCTTTTTTGGTATTCATAATATGCATATTATCATATGAAAATAACATGCTTTTTGATCAAATACGGGTGCAGTGTGAAAGACGGGTGTTTGGAAGGGCCGAATGTAAGATGGGCCTTTGAAAATAAAGTTTGTTTGTTCATTCGTTCATTCATTGTGAGTCTAGAGTAGGCTTACCCACTGTCAGTCTGGATCAGGCTTATTCACTGTCAGTCTAGATTAGGCTCATTCATTGTCAGTCTAGATCAGGCTCATTCATTGTCAGTCTAGATCAGGCTCATTCACTGTCAGTCTAGATAAGGCTCATTCATTGTTAGTCTAGATTAGGCTCATTCATTGTCAGTCTAGATTAGACTCATTCATTGTCAGTCTAGATCAGGCTAATTCATTGTCAGTCTAGATTAGGCTCATTCATTGTCAGTCTAGATTAGGCTCATTTATTGTCAGCCTGAATTAGATTTTTTGAGTGTTACTGACTGTTATTGCATCTGTACCTATTGAAACCATATAATTATGCTTGAGCTATCCAGATCTATCCATTTGTTTAATCATATTGGAAACATTGACAAAACCATCTTTGTGACATTTCTTCTGCAGCGATTGACACAATCACCTTTGTGACATTGCTTCTGCAGCCATTGACAAAACCATCTTTGTGACATTGCTTCTGCAGCGATTGACACAATCACCTTTGTGACATTGCTTCTGCAGCCATTGACAAAACCATCTTTGTGACATTGCTTCTGCAGCCATTGACAAAACCATCTTTGTGACATTGCTTCTGCAGCCATTGACAAAACCATCTTTGGGACATTGCTTCTGCAGCCATTGACAAAACCATCTTTGCGACATTGCTTCTGCAGCCATTGACAAAACCATCTTTGTGACATTGCTTCTGCAGCCATTGACAAAACCATCTTTGTGACATTGCTTCTGCAGCCATTGACAAAACCATCTTTGTGACATTGCTTCTGCAGCCATTGACAAAACCATCTTTGTGACATTGCTTCTGCAGCCATTGACAAAACCATCTTTGTGACATTGCTTCTGCAGCCATTGGCAAAACCATCTTTGTGACATTGCTTCTGCAGCCATTGACAAAACCATCTTTGTGACATTGCTTCTGCAGCCATTGACACAACCATCTTTGTGACATTGCATCTGCAGCCATTGACAAAACCATCTTTGTGACATTGCTTCTGCAGCCATTGACAAAACCATCTTTGTGACATTGCTTCTGCAGCCATTGACACAACCATCTTTGTGACATTGCTTCTGCAGCCATTGACACAACCATCTTTGGGACATTGCTTCTGCAGCCATTGACACAACCATCTTTGTGACATTGCTTCTGCAGCCATTGACAAAACTATCTTTGTGACATTGCTTCTGCAGCCATTGACACAACCATCTTTGTGACATTTGCTCCTAGCTCTGTTAACACATTACATTGATTTATACTTGTGTGTCATGTGACACAGTTGCTTGATTTACTGTATGTTGTTGCCATTCATCCTCATGGTATTCCTTGTTTTTCCTGTGTTAAATCTAATGTTGTTTGTGGACACGGGTGTATGTGGACAGAGTGTTGTATGTGGTCATGGTGTTGTATGTGGACAGAGTGTTGTATGTGGTCATGGTGTTGTATGTGGTCACGGTGTTGTATGTGGTCATGATGTTGTATGTGGTCATGGTGTTGTATGTGGACAGAGTGTTGTATGTGGTCATGGTGTTGTATATGGCCATGGTGTTGTATGTGGACAGTGTTGTATGTGATCATGGTGTTGTATGTGGTCATGGTGTTGTATGTGGACAGAGTGTTGTGTGTGGTCATGGTGTTGTTTATGTATAGAGTGTTGTATGTGATCATGGTGTTGTATGTGGACAGAGTGTTGTATGCGGTCATGGTGTTGTATTTGGACAGAGTGTTGTATGTGATCATGGTGTTGTATGTGGACAGAGTGTTGTATGTGATCATGGTGTTGTATGTGGACAGAGTGTTGTATGTGATCATGGTGTTGTATGTGGACAGAGTGTTGTATGTGGTCATGGTGTTGTGTGTGGACAGAGTGTTGTATGTGGTCATGGTGTTGTTTATGGACAGAGTGTTGTATGTGGTCATGGTGTTGTATGTGGACAGTGTGTTGTATGTGATCATGGTGTTGTATGTGGACAGAGTGTTGTATGTGGTCATGGTGTTGTATGTGGACAGGGTGTTGTATGTGGTCATGGTGTTGTATGTGGACACGGTGTTGTATGTGGACATGTTGTATGTGGTCACGGTGTTGTATGTGGACACGGTGTTGTATGTGGTCATGGTATTGTATGTGGACAGAGTGTTGTATGTGGACAGTGTTGTATGTGGACAGAGTGTTGTATGTGGACATAGTGTTGTATGTGGTCATTGTGTTGTATGTGGACAGAGTGTTGTATGTGGACATGTGTTATATGTGGACAGAGTGTTGTATGTGGTCATGGTATTGTATGTAGACAGAGTGTTGTATGTGGACACGGTGTTGTATGTGGTCTTGGTGTTGTATGTGGACAGAGTGTTGTATGTGGTCATGGTGTTGTATGTGGACAGAGTGTTGTATGTGGACACGGTGTTGAATGTGGACACGGTGTTGAATGTGCACACGGTGTTGTATGTGGACACGGTGTTGTATGTGGACACGGTGTTGTGTGTGGACACGGTGTTGTGTGTGGACACGGTGTTGTGTGTGGACACGGTGTGTGTGGACACGGTGTTGTGTGTGGACATGGTGTTGAATGTGCACTCTGTGTTATATGTGGTCATGGTGTTGTATGTGGACATGGTGTTGTATGTGGACACGGTGTTGTGTGTGGTAATGTTGTTGTATGTGGTCATTGTGTTGTATGTAGACACAGTGTTGTGTGTGGTCATTGTGTTGTATATGGACACGGTGTTGTATGTGGTCATTGTGTTGTATGTGGACACAGTGTTGTATGTGTTCATGGTGTTGAATGTGGACGTGGTGTTGTATGTGGTCGTGGTGTTGTATGTGGACACAGTGTTGTATGTGGTCATTGTGTTGTATGTGGACACGGTGTTGTATGTGGACACAGTGTTATATGTGGTTATTATGTTGTATGTGGACACAGTGTTATATGTGGATACGGTGTTGTGTGTGATCATTTTTTTTTGTGGGTCTCTTATTGTCGCCGTGCATTCTCCTGATGTTCCATTTGTTTTCTTTGTGTATCTGGTGTTGTATATCGTCTTTTATTGTAGACTTTCTCATGGGCTGGTGCCCAAGAGTGCACATTCATATTGCCAGGATACCTATGACAGATGTGCCCTCTGACCCCGAGCAGCTCAAGCTATGGCTGTACTCAAGGTTTCAGGTCAAGGACAGGTGAGACCATGTGTCAATAAGCTGTAGGTTGAGTACCAACCAGTAGTGTTTTATAAGCTCTGTTCAGACAGTTTTCTGACTGGGGCCATACAAATAACAATGACAACTGAAGGTCTGAAACCCTTGTCTTCTTCACAGTGGTTTCCTTGCAGCTTCACACTTCTTCACAATGGTTTCCTTGCAGCTGTACACTTCTTCACAATGGTTTCCTTGCAGCTGTACACTTCTTCACAATGGTTTCCTTGCAGCTGTACACTTCTTCACAATGGTTTCCTTGCAGCTGTACACTTCTTCACAATGGTTTCCTTGCAGCTGTACACTTCTTCACAGTGGTTCTACCATTGTTGGAGGTATTTTAGGAACATCTTTTTCTGAGTGGCGTATTAATAACCCTGTTCAACTAAGTTTATTCATGGGTCAACAATTTTGAAAATGGGCATCACCATGGGCCAGAGTCGTAGGAAAAAAAATATATCATTAATACAATTTAGCTGGAAATGATCAGTGGGCTATTTGCTAGACTTCCATGGACCAGATTTCACCCTGTGGCCACCAGTTGAATAACCCTGTCTTAGAGGATGGAGTATTAATAGCCCATCATCATCATTATCACGTGATATGACGATTGACATAAGCGTTCATACATCTCCACAGATCTCGGTCTCTTGTCTTCTGGATCAGATCCACTGATGACATCCCTCCGTGCTATCATCACAGTCCCTCCGTCATCATCTATTTTGGTCTGCCTCTCCCTCTTCTACCGTTAATCTTTCTACTCGTCACAATATCCTCTAAAGCCTACCCTTCATCACGTGACCAAAGAACACTGCTTGCCCTTAATAGCCCTTGAAGGATGTATAGCACTTAGGTGGTGACTCATATGATGGAGACTAACTTATTGCGATTGGAGAATATCTTATTGGGGATAGAGATTAACTCATTGAGGATGGAGAATAACTCATTGGTGATGGAAAATAACTAATTGGGGATAGAGAATATCTCATTGAGGATAGAGATTAACTCATTGAGAATGGAAAATAACTCATTGGGGATGGAAAATATCTCATTCAGAATGGAGAATAACTCATTGGGGATGGAGAATAATCCCCCACCATGTTATCATATGCACCCCCCCCCCCCCCCCCCACGGTATCACTTGTACACCCTATATACCTGTGCTCTGTGCTGTCATCTATACCCCTGTGCTGGCATCTACACCTCCTATGCTGTCATCAGTACCTCCTATGCTGACATCTATACCCCTGTGCTGTCATCTATACCCCTGTGCTGTCATCTATACCCCTGTGCTGTCATCTATACCCCTGTGCTGTCATCTATACCCCTGTGCTGGCATCTACACCTCCTATGCTGTCATCAGTACCTCCTATGCTGACATCTATACCCCTGTGCTGTCATCTATACCCCTGTGCTGGCATCTACACCTCCTATGCTGTCATCTTTATCCATGTGCTGTCATCTACAGCTCCTGTGCTGTCAACTATACCTCCTATGCTGTCATCTACACCTCCTGTGCTGTCATCTGCACCTCCTGTGCTGTCATCTGTACCTCCTGTGCTGTCATCTACACTCCTATGCTATCATCTATTCCTCATGTGCTGTCATCTACACTTCCTGTGCTGTCATCTGTACCTCCTGTGCTGTCATCTACACTCCTATGCTATCATCTATTCCTCATGTGCTGTCATCTACACTTCCTGTTCTGTCATCTGTACCTCATGTGCTGTCACCTGTACCTCCTATGCTGTCATCTATACCTCCTATGCTGTCATCTGTACATCCTATGCTGTCATCTGTATCTCCCATGCTATCAGCTATACCTCCTATGCTGTCATCTACACCTCTTGTGCTGTCAACTGTACCTCCTATGCTGTCATCTGTACCTTATATTCTGTCATCTGTACCTCATGTGCTGTCATCTATACCTCATGTGCTGTCATCTGTTCCTCATGTGCTGTCATCTACACCTCCTGTGCTGTCATCTACATCCAATGGTATCATCTGTAGCTCCTGATGTAGCTCCTATGTTTTGATGGCATCTTACAGGCTGTTACAAGAGTTCTACTCTGCTACAAGACAAGAGGAAGCCAGGTTTCCAGGCATGCATGTGGTCAGACCCCTGGCACTCTCAGTGCTGCTGCCTTCTGTGTTGTTGTGGAGTGGAACAGTCGCCCTGTGCAACAGCTCTGCCTTGTACCGAAACATTTACTGGAAAGTGGGTCTGGGTGCAGCCGTGGCGGGACTGGTATGGTCGGGGCTACGTTACTGACTGGTGGCTGCAAGTCTCTGATGTCATTCAGTCATTGAGATCTGGAACAGTTTTGTTCACTTCATCAGCTTTACATCAATGTATATGCATTAGTTGATGATGATGTGGATGATCCCTGTGTTTCTGACAGGTTCATCTTGTTGCTATAGGAATTGTTAATTCTTCTTCAGGCCGAGAACTGGAGTGCAGATTCTGTTTACTGAGCGAGTTGAATGCTAGTTAGATGTGTGGTTGTTTAAGGAATGAAGTGAATTGGATGTGTCGTAGTTTGAGAGCTGGAGTGAATTAGATGTGTAATAGTTTAAAAGCTGAAGTGAATTAGATGTGTGGTTGTTTAAGAGCTGAAGTGAATTAGATGTGTGGTAGTTTCAGAGCTGAAGTGAATTATGTGTCTGGTTGTTTGAGCGCTGGAGTGAATTAGGTGTATTTTTGTTTTAGCCCTGGAGTGAATTAGATGTGTGGTAGTTTGAGAGCTGGAGTGAATTAGATGTGTGGTAGTTTGAGAGCTGGAGTGAATTAGATGTATTGTTGTTTGAGAGCTGGAGTGAATTAGGTGTATTTTTGTTTTAGTGCTGGAGTGAATTATATGTGAGGTAGTTTGAGAGCTGGAGTTAATTAGATGTGTGGTAGTTTGAGAGCTGGAGTGAATTAGATGTGTGGTAGTTTGAGAGCTGGAGTGAATTAGATGTATGGTTGTTTGAGAGCTGGAGTGAATTAGGTGTATGGTTGTTGGAAAGTAGGGAACAGTTGGGTGTATGGTTGTTTGAGAGCTGGAGGGAATTAGTCGTATGGTTGTTGGAAAGTAGGGGAGAGTTGGGTGTATGGTTGTTTGAGAGCTGGAGGGAATTAGTCATATGGTTGTTGGAAAGTAGGGAAGAGTTGGGTGTATGGTTTTTTGAGAGCTGGAGGGAATTAGTCGTATGGTTGTTGGAAAGTAGAGAAGAGTTGAGTGTATGGTTGTTTGAGAGCTGGAGGGAATTAGTCGTATGGTTGTTTGAAAGTAGGGAAGAGTTGGGTGTATGGTTTTTTGAGAGCTGGAGGGAATTAGTCGTATGGTTGTTGGAAAGTAGAGGAGAGTTGGGTGTATGGTTGTTTGAGAGCTGGAGGGAATTAGTCGTATGGTTGTTGGAAAGTAGGGAAGAGTTGGGTGTATGGTTTTTTGAGAGCTGGAGGGAATTAGTCATATGGTTGTTGGAAAGTAGGGAAGAGTTGGGTGTATGGTTGTTTGAGAGCTGGAGGGAATTAGTCGTATGGTTGTTAGAAAGTAGGGAAGAGTTGGGTGTATGGTTTTTTGAGAGCTGGAGGGAATTAGTCGTATGGTTGTTGGAAAGTAGGGGAGAGTTGGGTTGAATTAGATGAATGGTTGTGGGAGAGTATTGTATGTTTTTTTTTTAATTTGTAAAAGTTAGGAGTAAATAATATGTAAGGTCCATTTGTTGGTAGAACTGAAGTAAATAATATGTATGGTCCATTTGTTGGTAGAACTGAAGTAGATAATGTGTATGGTCCATTTGTTGGTAGAACTGAAGTAGATAATGTGTAAGGTCAATTTGTTGGTAGAACTGGAGTAAATAATATGTATGGTCCATTTGTTGGTAGAACTGAAGTAGATAATGTGTATGGTCCATTTGTTGGTAGAACTGAAGTAGATAATGTGTATGGTCCATTTGTTGGTAGAACTGAAGTAGATAATGTGTATGGTCCATTTGTTGGTAGAACTGAAGTAGATAATGTGTATGGTCCATTTGTTGGTAGAACTGAAGTAAATAATATGTATGGTCCATTTGTTGGTAGAACTGAAGTAGATAATGTGTATGGTCCATTTGTTGGTAGAACTGAAGTAGATAATGTGTAAGGTCAATTTGTTGGTAGAACTGAAGTAGATAATATGTATGGTCCATTTGTTGGTAGAACTGAAGTAGATAATGTGTAAGGTCAATTTGTTGGTAGAACTGAAGTAGATAATGTGTAAGGTCAATTTGTTGGTAGAACTGAAGTAGATAATGTGTAAGGTCCATTTGTTGGTAGAACTGGAGTAGATAATATGCAGGCTTCATTTGTTGGTAGAACTTAAGTAGAAAATATTATGGTCCATTTGTTGTTAGAACTGAAGTAAATACTATGTAGGGTTCATTTGTTGGTAGAACTGGAGTAAATAATATGTATGGTCCATTTGTTGGTAGGACTGGAGGAAATAATAAGTATGGATTGTTTGTTTCAAGAACTAAAGTGCATAATGTGTATGGTCCATTTGTTGGTAGAACTGAAGTAAATAATATGTATGGTACATTTGTTGGTAGAACTGAAGTAAATAATATGTATGGTCCATTTGTTGGTAGAACTGAAATAAATAATAAGTATGGTACATTTGTTGAGAGTGTTGTATATTATTTGCAAGAAACTGTCTGAAGGGTAAATTTTGTAAACTGAAGTCTGAAAAGAATTGGAAAACTGATGGTCCAGATGATATCCTGGTCAAAGCTGTTAAAACCTACGGAAACAGATTTCTGCACAAATTGTTTAGCAGAGATTGAACAAGTACCAGCAGACTGGAGAAAGAGATTTCTAGTGAAGCTGCTACACAAAGAGACCCGGCAGGAGTGTGAACTTGATAGCCTAGAAGCTATTGTCAGCAAAATGCTAAACAGGATTATTTAGAAGAGATAAGTAGATGTTATAGATAAACATCTAGGGGACCAGTAGGCTGCTGTTGTGTATGTACATTCTTAGGAGTGTGTAGGTATGCATACAAGAATGTATGTACTTATGAGTGTAAGTATGTATGGCTCAAAGTATGTACCAGCTTGTGTGTGTATGTACAAGTGAAAGTGTGTACATACTTATAAGTGTGCTTTTATGAATGTATGTGCATAATTATCAGCGTTTATGCATGAATGTATGTACCCAATTATATGTGTGTGACATACTTGTCAGTGAATAGGTGTGTTTGTATGAATGAATGCATCTGACATGCCATGCTTTTGTGTTCGTACCCAGTATTCATATTGTGTATATTGCTCACTGAACATAACATTTGTGATAGATAAAGTACACTTCCTGTGTGAAAAGTGAGTGGGTGGAAAGGCCGAATGCAAGGCTAGCCAGTATGCGTGACCCTTTGAGAATAAAGTGTGTTGGTTTCCATTTTGTGAATAGACCAGCTATTATATTTTTTGACTACTGTTCTGACAGACATTTGCAGGCCCATCAGCCTCACTGGTTGTCTGACAAGACATTTGCAGGCCCATCAGCCTCACTGGTTGTCTGACAAGACATTTGCAGGCCCATCAGCCTCACTGGTTGTCTGACAAGACATTTGCAGGCCCATCAGCCTCACTGGTTGTCTGGGCAAATTGTTGGAGAGATAAGTAAAACCACCAGCTGACCTGGTTTCTAGAGGTTAGTTGCGTCTTCTTTACAGGACGTTGCAGAACCAACCCCAACAGCCCCTGGCTGTTGTGTGGTTTTTCTAGGCAAATTTACGTCCAGTAGTTTGCCATTGCTTTCTGGACGGTCGGCTTTCTTGATACAACTGTCAAAACCAACGCAAGGCCCATGGTCCGCAGCTGGATCAAACCCGGCATCCTGGCATTACGAAGCGTTCACAGCCTCAGAGCCGACTGGGTTCTAGATACGAATCTAAAAAAAATGGAGGATGGGTTAAGTTTTCGACATTGTAGATCCACAACAGATTAGAAAATGACATTGATTGTGCAACATAATGAAGATAATTTCAGGAAAATAAATGCGCCATTGCAATCGGGCTTTCCTCGCGGTTTGGACTCGTGGGTTTAGCCAAAAGTTGGTTGACAGTAGAATAGAATATCCCATCACATGCTTGTCTGGTCTGACAATACTTTGAGATTGTCTTCTCTGTTGAGAGTCATTGTGCTTGTCTGGTCTGACAATACTTTGAGATTGCCTTCTCTGTTGAGAGTCATTGACTGATTTCTGGGCCTCCTCCCTGTCAGCAGGCCCCAGCTAGAAAGACCGGATCTAGTGAAAAATGAGTCAGACACACTGGGCCGCACAAAAGACACCCTCTGCAACACCATGTAACATGTCAGACACACTGGGCCGCACAAAAGACACCCTCTGCAACACCATGTAACATGTCCTGGGTTTTGCTGACGATAGTTTACAGACTCAAAGTTGCACAGGTCAAGGTGTACATGAGGGTATTGGCAGACTCTAACCACCTGCTCCACAAAGCAAAGCTATACATGACACAAAATGAGTGCATTCCAAAAGAAGCCGCTCCTGGATGGCCAAGGCAGGATATAATCCAGCAGGTATGTGATCTAGATGAGATCAGTCATGGAAGAGAATGGAGGAATACACCAGTAGACGTGCATGGTATCTCTAATGCTGTAATCACACTGGGGAGGTACTTCAGGGGTTAAATTCTTGCAACCATAGACACACAGCTAAGGGCACACCTCTTGATCCGTTGTGTCTTGTGCCTCTTCAGTCACGCACAACGGTTGACTGTAGAAGGGTTTTCCTGATCAAAGGATAAACCAAGTTCTCAAGGCAGAAGTGGTAGACATTAGTCAACTTCATGTTGTCTCTAGTGGTAGACATTAGCCAACTTCATGTTGTCTGTAGTGGTAGACATTAGTCAACGTCATGTTGTCTGTAGTGGTAGACATTAGCCAACATCATGTTGTCTCTAGTGATAGACATTAGTCAACGTCATGTTGTCTCTTGTGGTAGACATTAGTCAACATCATGTTGTCTCTAGTGGTAGACATAAGCCAACTTCATGTTGTCTGTAGTGGTAGATATTAGCCAACGTCATGTTGTCTCTAGTGGTAGACATAAGCCAACTTCATGTTGTCTGTAGTGGTAGACAGTCAACATCATGTTGTCTCTAGTGGTAGACATTAGTCAATGTCATGTTGTCTGTAGTGGTAGACATTAGTCAACTTCATGTTGTCTGTAGTGGTAGATATTAGTCAACTTCTTGTTGTCTGTAGTGGTGGACATTAGCCAACTTC